ATGCAAAATCTGATTTCTGCCAGACACAGTCTGGGTTTTTGATTCTGCTCTGCAGGAATAAGCCAGCTTTTACAAGAACAGCAGGAAAAAATGACTTGCTTTAATTATTTGTGCCAACCTGGCTATGTAATATTCCTGAATCTATGTTACGCTTGCCACAGTATTAGTAAACTATGCATAGTTTAGGCTCAGTGCCTGTAATGGGCTGTAGGAATAGCCTTGAGGAAAGAGGAACAGCAGTAAACAAGACAAGGGTCAGATAAAAGAAATAAAAGATAAAAGAGTCCAAAGTAGAAATGTATTGTGGGAACTTCTATATCAAACTATATTTTATTCCTTATGCTGCCCCCCATCTTCCCTTAAATCTTAACAGAATCCACAATGGATGGAGAATCAGAGTCTCTGCTAGATAATTGATAGTCAAGAAATTAAATTAATCAAGTAAAAATAGCAAACCAGGGAAAACCTTTTACTCAGACTTCCTCAACCCCTGTAAATAAGTTGCCCAGATCTAATCCACATATCAAAGGAAACGGTCTGTAAAGACAAATAGAGTTAATTAAAACGGTCTCCCAGCAGAACTGCATGTTCACAAGAATAAACATTATAGATGACATGTAGCTACAAAGACCCACGCCCCTCAAGTGTCACCCTAGAATCAGCATGTACACACTTCTGCACCCAGGACAGGCTCCCCTGTAAAACAGTGTCTTTGTACCCCATTTTCTGCTCCCAAGTCAAACCTCTTTGCTTTTGGGAATAAATATTTCTCCTTTCCTCATACTGTAGCTGTCTGGATTTCATTTTTATTAGCTCTTGCGCAACCCTGCCTTCAGTTGTAACCCCACATTATTCTTCCGAGAGTAATTTGAGAAAACATCTCAGATTTCACCATCCCTAGTTTTTTTTAGGCTAAAGCCAGGGAAGGGGAACCTGCATTCAGACTTGCAAGATTTAGGTCAGCTCTTCAAAGCAGACCAGAATTAGTGGAAGGACCTTGGTTATGCTAATACTACTTGCTATGAATGCTAATACTACTTGTATTACAGAGTTATAGTAACAGAATCTTACAAAGTAACAGAATCTTACAAATCTGAAGATTTCTTTTCTCTGACTACTGACTTGGATGTGGCCCTTTCTCTTGCTCCTCGGTGTTATTCTTAAACTCATTACAATAAGACATGGAGGTGGGGAGCAGCATTCCCAACTTATCTTCTGGTCAGGCAGCATTTTGTAACTGCATATGCTCACTATGAAAGATGTCAACTCATTTTGAGAGTTTACCAATGAGCTGCTTCCAGCCTTCCATATCTGTCTACCGGTGGTTGTGTTGTCCCAACATTGGAGGTTTTTAAGAGATTGGGCAACCATTTGTCTGAAATGGTATAGGGCAGGGGTAAGCAACCTTGGCTCTTTTATGACTCGTGGACTTCAACTCCCAGAATTCCTGAGCCAGCATGGCTGGCTCAGGAATTCTGGGAGTTGAAGTCCACGAGTCATAAAAGAACCAAGGTTGCCTACCCCTGGTATAGGGTTTCGTGCTTGAGCAGGGGGTTGGAGTAGAAGACTTCCAAGGTCCTTCCAACTCTGTTATTCTGTTATTCGAGGATTCCTGGTTTAATTCACATGGACATCACTGCCGTGCTCTTTTTAACTGGGAGCATATGTGTTTTTTTAAACCACTGTTCCTTTGAGAAAGTAAACAAGGACAGGCAGTCTTATGCATTAGCATATTGGTTAGACTGAAAAGTTCTAGATTTAATTTCTGTCCAACCATAAATCTCCTGAAATGCACATGACTATTTATTAAGCTAATCTATTTCATAGCATTATGAGGACAAAATTAAGAGGGGAGACCCATGTGAGCTGCCTATTTATAAGACTTAAATAAAAGTTTATGTCTTCTAACTTTCTGTTGCTAGGGGACTTTTTCCAATTCATGGACTTACCGCTGAAGAACCCCTAACCCAGGGGTCTTCAAACTTGGCCCTTTTATGACTTGTGGACTTCAATTCCCAGAATTCCTCAGCCAGCTTGCCTGGCTGAGGAATTCTGGGAGTTGATGTCCACAAGTCATAAAAGGGCCAAGTTTGAAGACCCCTGCCCTAACCATTTGTCCTAGAATTCCTGTGTACTTCAAACACAAAAGCTAAACATAAAGAGGCCAGGACTATTACGTTTTCCATTGCCTCCAATCAAATGAAAGTCAAAGAACAGTTTCAGCCTGTCTATGAAGATTGCAGTTGCTGACAACAATTTTGAAGGGGTTTCTGTCCTACCCTGCTCTCTTTCTTTCTAATTCTTTCTAATTCTTTTCTTTTCTGCATTTTTGCTTTTTCTTCCTTCTTCCTTTATTCTGAATTAGTTTGTATTAGATTTAATGTTCTTTATAAAACTTTTAATAAAATTTATGCAAAAAAAGCATAATTACCTGCTCTTTTGCTGTCGGTGGCTGCCATTTTAGTTAGTGCTAGGTCACAAGCGATTGACGGTTGGCTCAGAACATCAATCTTTGGTAACAAACCTGTGCACTATAATGTCTCTTTTAACTGAAGAACTTTTGCTACTAATGCCCATCTTCCTAAACTAAATCTGGAAAACCACAAAGTGATTTTTAGTTTCCTTATTCTAATGTTGTCCTTTTATTTTAACCTGACTCTTTAGCCAGGTTACTGGGAGTTCTAGGAACCAGTTTAGAAGATACTAGGTTGGGAAAGATTGTTACTATGGTTTAGTTCACAATAAAAATGGAGCCATTTGACACTATTCTCCTGGCCAAATTTCCTGTGATATTTAGGAGATACGTTATACCCAATGAACAAACCAAAAGTGAAATCAAGTTTTTATAGAACAGGTGTGGAGGAATGGAGGGGGTGGATACAATTTCTGTACCTACCCAAATCAGTCAGATCTTCATCCACCAAGCTGCAACTGCTCAGCCTTAACACTTGGATCTTGGAATCAGGGTTTATTGCTTTCAGAATCTGATTTAAGTTGCCACCAACACATTTATTCCAAGAAAGGTCTACTAGCTTCAGTTCAGGAAGATGAGAGACTGCATCAGCTGAAAAGATTAACAACAACCCTTTGTATATTTTCAAAGAAAGGCGGTCCTATGCATACAAATTAGATTTCTAAATATATCAAACCAATTTTCCAACATTTTGTTCCCCCTTCTTTCATTACTACTAAGAAACAAAACCCTATTCGGGTAGCCCTTGACTTGCTTAACAACCGTTCAAAGTTATGTTCTACTCCACCCCTGCAATCACATGACCACACTTTGGGCATTCAGCAACACGGCTGCATTTATGTCCATTTGCAGCATCCCACAGACATATGATCACATTTTATGATGGTTTTAGATTTTAGAAATGTACAAATGGATTAAGGGCCCAATACATTTTCAATAAAGAATCCTTCCCAAAGGATTTTGTTTTGAATTTTAAAAATTGGACATTAGAGGGAACTAAAAGAAACTAAACACTGGACGTACTGAAGGATATATTTTAATAATGGACCCAGATATTAATTTTAAGTGTGTCTGCCTCTACCAGAAAGAGGAGGAGGAGGAGGACACAAAGAGGCAAAGACAGAATTTCAGTCTGTTCTTACCTAGAGACAGAAATGAATCATGTTGCAAGGCACAATTGTTGAGGAGCACAGATGTCAATTTTGGTAAAAATCGGAGTCTACTAAGAAGATGATAGGTAGATATCCCTACATTTGTATTTGAGGATAAATTCAGCTCCCGAAGATTTGACAAAAGAGGTATTATCTGGGCTGGAACAAAAATAGATAACAGAGATACTACAGTAAAATTAAGAAGAATTTATTTTGAATCCATTAATATATAACCAGCTCCATGTATTGGCCTGTGAGTCTTTCTTCTATTCTTTGCTTCCCTCAATTGCTTGAACACAACATTTATAAGTTATTTGAAAAATAGAATAATAGTAAGAGCTTAAAAAGAAATGGAACAATATCAATCTTAGGAGATAATGCAACTTGACTATTATAGCCAATATTGAAGAAAGCCCTCACTTGAAGAGTGTCTTCTGTTGAAGTAATGATCTCATTGTGTTAAACTATCTTTGACAACCCATTAAAGGTGATTTAATTGATTAGACTGGGATATTCATCTCACTTAGCCGAGCAGACAAATCTATTCCTCTGCTGTAATTTTCAATAATGGCCCTGCTCTCAGCTTTTGTTATAAACCTGGGAGAATTGATGATCGCAGTTTTGCATGGACCAACAAACACTGCTTCTCACAGCTAAATGATTTTACAATTCTTTATAAGGCATTGTCCACATATTTCTTACATAAAACCAACATGTCCTCTTCTGTAATACAACACTGATGAAGATTCAGGATTTCAAGGTTAGTTAAACTGGCCAAATGACCAGCCAAAGACTGGAAAACTCCTCCAATCAATTTATTACATGATACATCTAATGTTCTCAATTCCGATAAATATTGGAAAGCAGCATCTGAAATAGGTAAGTTTTTACTAATTATAAAATTACCCACAAATGAGATATTTATTTGTACAATAGATAAACCATATTTCATCCATAAGGATGGGATTCAAGAATGTACACAATGCTACAAAAAGATTAAAACACAATATAATAATGCTGAATTTACATAGCCAAAAAGATAAATGCTGTTTAACTGATTGTTAACCATATTCATTCTTACGTTAGTTTTCTTTTGTCAGAAATGTGGTTGAAGCATAACCTAATTTTGATTAGCTCAGAATTAAGATTTGAACGGAAGTTATTAAATTATCAAATTTTAGTTTCAATATTTTTTCTATAAAAGTTCGAACTTCACTAAGAGGTTAAGCACATTTAAAATATTCTTAAACAAAAACATCTAAATTTTCTGTTCATAACTTGCATTTATTTCAAGAATCCTTATTCTGAATGTTAACAAAGTTTACATTACTTCAAGCAATCAGGTTTCAAAATGCTGAATTTAATAAAGTGATGCTTACGATCAGTATCTTAGCTAAACAATCATTTAAAAAATGGAAAAATGTCTAAAATGTAAAATTAAATTCAATTTATGAACAATTCAGCTTTAATTACAGTAATGAAACAACTCTGTAGCTTGATGGGCTAGTTCCTACTTTTGTTGGTCCTCCTTCAGATGGAATGATATGTGGGCTTATGTCAAAATGTGATTTTTACTTCAAGCCCCAACTTTTTGTGCTTTGACCATACCAGCCTTCGTCACCTCCCTCACCATGTTGTTTTCAATCCCCACCCCAAAAAAATGGATACAAATTTACTTATGAAAAAAAAATCTTAGCTCCCAATCAACACCTATATTTACCTATGGAATGGAAGCCATCTTGTTCTAATCCACATGTGTTCAGATTTAATACTTGCAAGCTTGAAACAAATTGTAATTCCTGTGCAATACTTTTAAGGCTACATCCCAATTTTACATTGATTGACAAGTCCAGAATTTTGAGGCTGGGGATCCTACTTAGAAGCTGAGCTGAAAATAAGACAGATGCAGTTAAGAACACTGGAATACAGGATAGCAGAGAGTTGCAAAGAATTTTTTAAAAATAGTTTACTGCTTAGGAAATTACCCAAACATTTCTGAACTACGATCAGAAATATCACAGAGACATTTTAATAAAGTTTCTGAAAATTCTTGTAATGGATTCCAAGTGTCTGAGAAACTACATCTACAATATTGGAAAAAGAATTCTCTCTTGACCATTTATGACTAACATCTGAGATCTGGGCTAGAAAATCTTTAGGTTGTGCAGTCCCCAACCTCCTATCTCCAGATCTGCCCAGGAAAACATCCTCAGAATTCATCACCAAATATCATTTATAACAACAAATGAAGGAAATAAAATAACTTAAGCCTTAAGATCAAATTTAAATATAAAAAGTAAGTTATATAACACAATAGCCATTAAGTCTTGAGATAACACCATTACAGCAGGTAGATCTTCAAGTGCACCCACTTGCATGGTACCCTAATATTATTGATATGTATTCTAGGGAACAGACACTTCTATTATTGGATAAATCATCCCTATCCGCCATGTTGATTCTTTCATGATGTAGAATAAACACCACATCCTATTTCCCACCTCTATTCTACTGTTGATACATATAAAAGAGATTAAGGCTACAATAATAACCAATGGCTCCTCCTTTTAAGGCATGTTAATTATCTACAGAATTTCCAGTGGCTTTCAAACATTCTGGGACATATAGATATATGGGTATAGATATAAATATTGTAAACTATAGTGTTGTTCATGTTTCTTTCCCTAATTTTGCCTGCTATTTATTTTTATAGTTATTTTCCTAAGTTTGCAAAAAGTTCAATAAATAAATATTAAGCTACATTTTTGCTAGCTGAAGCAAGTGCTGTGGGTGCGTGCTCTGATTTGGAGATATAGTTGGATATTCTGGATGTGTCCTGCATGCAAATTAAACTGGAAATTATCCACAATAATTGTCCAATACACATGACCAGCCTTTTGTCTCCCAATTCTTCTGACTTCCAGGATAAAATGGACCAAGACTGGTCTATTCCTTGTCTTCCCATCCCAGCCTAACTCTGTCGTATGCACAATATAATGCACACAACAGAAGCAGGGATGATGTTCCCTGTACGTGGAAATTGTAATAGGTAGTGAAAGCAACCTTGGAAGACACGAAGAAGAACCACATCATGGGCAACAGTGATAAGAGAAATTTGAGTCCAAAGGAGGAATGAGGGTGTCTCAGAAGAGACCCTCTCTAGTTCTCTGGAACATAAAGGCAGGGGAGGGAGGAAGCGCTTGTTAGATACTGTTACTGTAACCCTACAAACAAAGGTAGTATTTAGTCCTCATGATTTTGGTTTCCTGTCTGGACCACTTAGAAGAGCTGGAAAATCATGAGTTCATTCAATCAGACCCTTAGTTTGAAGAATAAGCTAATACAGTGAACACTCCAAAGATGTTAGCATCTCTCTGCCACAGAATCTTACCTATTGATTTGCCATCTTCCTGAGTAAGACAGCAATCTGTTACTTTTAATGTATGGAGTTTAGAGCCTTTGAGGATTTTGGAGGTTAGAAGGGAAAGGCTTCCCCCAATGCCAGGATTCCATGATAAATCCAGTATTTCAAGGTGAGGAATTCCTTCTATTGCTTCTCCTGTAAAAAAAAAAGCATTTTGGATTCCTTGTGGTATTTTGGATATTGAACTGAAAATGCAAAAAGTATCACATGTGTATGAAACTATTGAAGATTTCAGTCGTTGATAGGGGGGTAATGAATCTACAGATTTGGTTTCCCTCAGTTGTTTTACTGTTCTTTATTTCCATAGTAGCTAGAGAATGTATTTGAACTAGTTTGTACTAATGTGCCTATTTTTCCATACTTCTTTACACATTACAACCTTTTGTGTAACAAAATACCATTTTGAATCCAATTTTCCTGAATAGATGTGTTGCTGTGCCATTATGTTCAGGAATATGCACATTTTTGTCTATTTTTTTTTAACAGGTTCCAGTGTAAAATGAAATATGTTATAGTGATATAGTGAGAAAATGCATTTCAATATTGAGACAGCAATCTTAATTTTGAAGGATAATTGAGGTGGGTTTTTTATGTTGTCTAAAAAATGCAAAATTGGAGGATCAAACGTGAGCAGAGTAAATTTCTCTGCTATCAGTAATCACTGCGGCAGCTTTTAGTGGTTGTTTTCTACCATGCAGGGAACATAGACCTTATCTAGAGAAAACAGATGATACAAGTGGCAGAGCTTCTGCCTAGAAGGCCAGCCTTCCTTTCTCCTCAGGGCCTGACCATCCAAATAGTGCCTGGTTCATGGAGATATGGAAGGAGCGGAATTTATACTTCAGATCAGATTCAATATCTTCCCCTGCTTTAGCCTCAGGATGGGCCCAGGTATATGCTAGAGACAATTCAAAGAATCAGCACTTCTAGATTTTGCAATTTCACCCATCATCCATCAGTCTCTTTAATAACATAGTCAATTGGGATAACTTTGTGGATTCTACTACTACTAAATGGTACCTAAACATGCAACATCCTTGGTCGTGAGTCTGCAGCTGTTCAGCTGGAGGACTTTCAGCTCTTGCAGGTGTTTGAACCGAAGGGCCAGATGTTCTAGTTTTCCTCCTATGAAGTCATTCCAGGAAAGATCAATCTCCTCCAAATCTGGCAGCAGTGATATTACAGTAGCTAAAAGGCAGTCAAGCAACAGAGAAAGATTGCTAACACATGGCAAGGCTAGAATATGAATGAATGTTATTTCTCGTAAATTAAACTCCTGCATCCAGGTTTATTAGTTTAAGGCTAACAGTAGGCCACACCAATGCAATCTATGTCTCTACTATTGTACTATATATACTTGGGAGGTGGCAGTAGAAGTGAAGTCACGAAGATAAAAGCATGGGTGTGAAATAATGGCTCTGTTCATACTAAACTCATCCAACCACATCTTTGTGTGTTCTGTAAACCTAGACAATGTAGTTGAATGTGCTCCTCTTTAAAATGTTTGTTGGTTCTTTATTCCCTGTTCAGTTGAAAGAGCAGCATCACAGTTACCCAGAGTGAAGCAGGTTGTGTGAACAGCCCTTGGCTATATTTTCACACAATGATTCACACACAGGTAGGTGCTATGATGTAGCACTAAGAAAACAACTCTGATGAAGTCTTGTGCATATATATTTTCCTGGGTTTTTTCCCTCTCCTCTCTAGTCACAAGGAGATGGAAAGCTTTACAGTACATTTCTATTTAATGCTATTTAATGTTACAAACTGTAGATAGCTCTAACTATATCTTGCTCAAATAAGCCTGCTTTGTAAATGATAAATTAAAGATGACTTATTTTAATAAATTACTAAAAAGTAAATAGCAATCTCAAATTGCTTATTATTACACAATAATAATAAAAATAATAAGTAGAGCATCTTTCTTTTGATTTACAACTCTCAACAGCATTAAAAAAGAAGCAGAGAGAGAGAAAATAAATGTGAAAACCTAGCTTTCCATTCCCATAAGGTAAACTGTTTATTGTTTTGTGGAAATGCAGCAGTTGAATGAGTTAATGAATTTATGGTAATTCTTCATAACAGGTCTATTGCAGCAAAATAAATTATAGTCTCAAGGCACTTTAAAGATGAGGAGATATTATGTGGAATAGATTTCTGTGGATGGAATTCATTAAATGCATTCCCACTGGGTGGAAAGGAGGAACTGAAAAATTTAGAACAAAAGTCCATACAATGCAAGAAATACAGCCTACTGGCTGGGGGATTTCTGGGAGTTGAAGTCCACTCATCTTAAAGTTGCTGATGTTGAGACACACCGCTCTAAATTATTAAGAAAAGGTTTTTAGGAAAGGGCTTGAAGTAAGAAGGAGAAGTGGCTGGAAAGTTAAAGACAAAGGAGATTCCACATAAGAAGAGCAGAATGAGATATTCCAAATTTTACAAATACAAAGTTGATTCTTGAAGGGCCTCAAAGAAGATAATTGATGCATGTGCATATGTATATACTGTATGTGAAAAGAAATATCACAGAAGTATACTCACTCAGCTCCATTATATCCACTGCATCCAATGTACAATTGTTTAAATCCAAATTCTTGTCAGAGGGCAATCTGCCCATTTTTTCCCAGAACTTCTGAACTCTCCAATGATATGACATTGTTTCTGCTTGAGAAGCAGAAGACAGCAAGTTATCTACTGAACAAACAAACTAGACACCTACCATTTCAGCATCTACCAACAAAGCTAAGCCAGGCAGCATGGACTGTCTGACCCTCTTTGTGAGGCCTCTAATTGCCCTAGTTTTGGAAATGCAAAGGCCTCCTTGGTGAATAAAGTTGGTGAAAATGAATTGACTTCGCCAGCTATGAATATGAAAGATATCAGGCTAGGAACTGGGAGACTATGAGTTCCAGTTCTGCCTTAGGCACAGAAGCCAGGTGGGTGATTCTGAGCCCATCCCTTTCCCTGGGTAACCCTAGGTAGACGAAAGCAAGGGGAGATCACTTCTTAAAAAAAAGTTGCCAAGCAAACTGCACAAAATTGTCCAGGAAGTCACCAGGAATCAAGACGGATGTAAAGGCATGCAATTAGTTACCTTAGTTAAGACACAAATAGTCAGACAGGTTTGTTGAGTGTAAATGTTGACACAATTTTGCTGACTCATTTTAGTGCCTTTGTAAAAATGTGTCTTTGCCTTATAAAAGTATATTCAGTCATACTACTTTTGTGTGCAACATGTGAATTATTACAAAACTCATATTTTTTCTCCTTGAAGCAAAAGCTTAAATTTTGGATTGTGCGGGTTCTTTTTTTTCCTATTTACAGATGTGTCCATTATCTAGGACTCTTGAAATATTTATTGTTACCATGAAGTGAAATAAGCTACTGGGTGTTATTAACTGGTCCTGGTTTGCTGATTTGATGCCATCACTTGCTTATCCAAGTACTGGTTAATAGTTTATTTATTTATTTATTTATTTATTAATTTAATTTATATCCCGCCCTTCTCCTTGCGGATAAAGAGGGAATCTGTTGTGATCTGCTTTGTTCTCATCTTTGTCTGACCTTATGCTATTTCTTATGAATTGTTCATAGTTTTCCTAGATAAGCAAGAGATGGTACCACCCAAGCAGAACCAGAACAAGACATTGACACTCACAGTGTTCCAATATTTCAGAGGTTGCCACAAAGAAGAGGGAGTCAAGCTATTCTCCAAAGCACCTGAAGGCAAGACAAGAAGCAACGGATGGAAACTAATCAAGGAAAAAACCAACCTAGAACTAAGGAGAAACTTCCTGACAGTTAGAACAATTAATCAGTGGAACCACCTACCTCCAGAAGCTGTGAATGCTTCAACACTGGAAGTTTTTAAGAAGAGACTGGACAGCCATTTGTCTGAAATGGTATAGGGTTTCCTGCCTGAGCAGAGGGTTGGACTAGATGACCTCCAAGGTCCCTTCCAACTTTATTATTACTACTACTACTACTACTACTACTACTACTACTACTACTACTACTACTACTATTACTATAGTGCCTCTTGGCCATTGGTTATTAGGCTGATGCCTTTGAAAATCATGCTCTTTTCTAAAATGCAATTTGCACATACATCATTTGAGAGCTAAATGGCTTTGTCTAAGATTATCATCAATTTTAAACTGTTCTTCTCAGTCTACTTAAGAAGGACTCAATGTTCTTTTGGTTCACTGAAAGAATTTCTAGTATATTCAGTGGGACTTAATTTGAGCTCCAAGGAATTGCACACTTCAGTTGAGTGATAGTGTGACTGAAAGCTACACCTGTGAACTTCATAGCAGCATGGCAATTTGAATTTATTGTTCTTACACTCAAGCATAGTAATATATGAGTTATGATTGAGTTTATTTGAACTGGAACAATTAGATATACATCCATTCTGATTAGGGCAAATGTGTTTTCAAGTCCACTAATCTACAAAGGAGACAAACCAAAATGTTTAGCCCACTAGTCCCAAAGGTGCTTTTCAAAAGGCAACTGGTTTTTCTTAGTTTTTTTTCTCTTGAAGACATTTCACTTCTCATCCAAGAAGCATCTTCAGTTCTGGCTGAATAGTGGAGAATAGATTGACTTCTATTGCTTGCAGTTATCTGGTTATTAGCATTCTGAAAGTCGGTCATTAGCTCTCTGAGAGTCGTTGAGGCCACTTGGGGGTTTATCTGTACCCTCAGGGTCACATGAATTAGAGGGCAAATGGGTGTGGAACCTTCTTGGAACTGCTGAAAGAACTGTGTTTTAAACAGAGGATAGGTGATGTCGTATCCTCCCCCTCTGTTGAGAGAGGGCTGTTCAATTTTAATATAGATGGTCTCTTTGACTTCTCTTAATATCCCGCCTAGAGGAACCATTGGACCTATTGACTATTGTTTATTTTTGTGAACTTTCCCTCCTAACCTTAAAATACAGCCCTTATGACATAAGAAGAAATACAGTTCAGTGTTGGTCACATACTGGTAATGTTTTTAGTGGGAACTGGAATAAAGACCTAAGCGATAGGTCACAATAGCTCATATCTTATTTGCACTCATGCAAACATGGGTGCCAATGGGGCAGGGAAAGAATTCGCAACCATGTCATCTTGCAAATGCAACATCTTAAGGTAAAGTTGTATGATAATGTCATTGCATACATCATCAAGGCTTGCTATGGATGCCCTTGAATGCAAATTACTTAGTGAGATCTATATAGAAGAAACAATTAGACTATGCTCGAACAGAATTTGAAAAGGAGGCAGCAAATAAATTTTGTTCTGTGTATAAGCTGGATGGAAGAAAGAATTCTAGTAGAAATCTGAGGAAAATAGGAATTTGTTAAACATTAATGAAAGCCTTTATGCTTAGCCAGTGTGTGTGTGTGTGTGTGTGTGTGTGTGTTTGTGTGTATGTGTGTACTTTACTGGACAAAACAAAGCTAGCTTAGATCTTTTTGAACTCTAGATATGATAGCTTTAGTCCAGAAATATTATCAGCTTTATGTGATCTCTTTAGATAAACATTACACAATGTTTATTATTGGAACTTGCAATCTTCTCATCTCCCATTAGAAACAAGGTTCATATGCACCAATATACACAAAAATAAGACATATTTTAAAGGGGTTTTTTTTTCTTTTAAAAGTTGAACAACTTCACAGAATACATTTTAAATCAAGTAACTTACCTTTGCCCATGCACTGTAAAACTGTTTCTCACTTGTAAATTAAATCAGCCTTGGCAGTGGGATTTTCAACACGGGTGCTTGATCATTTTAACTGCTTCACTCTGCTTCAGTTCTTCTTGGACAATTTCTGCTGTTAACATAACTTTCCTGAGATAAGTAGTAAATTTTGGAAGAAGAGGCCAAAAGCCAAACTACTTCTAATCTAAAAATCTGTGGCAGATTTCAAAAACTTAGAGAGATGTTGCTCCAAGCAGATTTTTTTTCTCAGTTGATTTTGGTTCTTTTCTTTTCACCCAAATTTTGCCAAAGATTTAGTAAACAGTTTGCTTGAATATTTCATTTAAATCTTCCTTCCTTCCTTCCTTCCTTCCTTCCTTCCTTCCTTCCTTCCTTCCTTCCTTTCCTTCTTTTCTGCAGTTCCAAAACTAAAAGGAGAATAATTTCTTAGACTTTGATCCCACAGCGTGCTACATGTGACCCTTACATTTGTTTTCCAAGGGTTGAGTCAATTATAGCTCAAATTTCAATACTTCAAGAAGATATTCAGTGTGTTCTCTAATCTTTTACTCCCTTTAGTTTTAAGGATAAATAGATGCACTCTGAGAAAATTGTGGAACCAAATAACTAAGAAAATTAATATCATAAGTAAAACGAATTGATCTCAGAAATAACTTCTTTCTGTTTATTCAGTATGTTTAATTTTAAAAGATCTATGCAGGCTTCATTGTACCTGCATTTACTATTCTATTGAACAGGTTGTTGTTATTCCTATTTTACAGATTTGAAGCCCAAGCTAAGAAATAAGTGGTTTGCTCAAAACCAAAGATAACCCTGGCTAAATGTATTGATTGATTGATTCTTTTGTTTATTTCTTTAATTCAATTTGGATGCCTCCTGACTCTTGCCAATTTCTTGAACTACATTCAATTCCAAACTGCAACTATGATTTTGAAAGCAAGAAGAAAATAACCCTAAAGTATCAATGGGCAGAGGATAAATCTCAGAAGAATTATTTAAGTCCACAGTGTAATATTACCTGTTCAGTCACAAGACAGAACATGAACCAAAAAGCAACATATCAAATTATTGATGAGTTTAATTCCAGAAAAGTCAACCGGGTAAGGTACTAAGGAAAGGTTTATGCTGCAATCCTTCGTGTTAATTTTCAACGCTGCTAATATTGAATATTCTTGCTTTGACAAAATATGCAGAACTGTCTGGTACTTTTAGAGTTAATTCAGATGAGAATGAGAGAGGAGAGAAAAACGTGGGGAAGGGAACGGAAGTTCAATCTTTGCCCTCCAGGCTAATTGGAAAATGTGAATCATGACCCCAAAATAGGGGAGGGGAAATGCCTGGAATGTTATGTGCGAAGGAAGAGAAATTCAGATTTTGGCATTCACCATGCCGTGCTGACACTCCTCTACACTAATAAAGGCTTTTTAGGTTAAACAATGCCTGAAAGTTCTTTGAAGTGTTTCATTAGTCAGACACATGACATTAATATTTTACATTTCCTGAATAATATTTTTGTTCTTGTAATTGCCTCAAACATGGCTTACCCCGCAATATGAGTGTGTAGGAGTTAGCATATTGCAGTCTGCCCCAAAGACAGGTGTTGTTGGGTAAATAGAGCAATCTATCAAGGGTGCGATGAAAACATTTCTAGAATTGTGTAGTTGTAAACTGACAGGTTGGGTAAACATGGACAAATCCTTTATTTGGTTTGCAAATACGCAATATGGGTTCAATCACTTGCCATCCATCAGAATCCCTGAGAGTACATTAGGGAATATACGGTAAGCATGAAAATATCAAACATTCATATAGTTCACAAAATACCTTGATTAAGGCTTGCTGGAAGAGCCAAGTTTTAAAAACCCTTCGAAATGCCAATAATTTCGGGCCCAAATGGACTTTGTGGACAGAATACTGTTCCAGATAGCAGAAATAAGTAGCAACATAAAAGGCATCTTTCTGGTCCGAAAAGATCACACTATTTTGTTGAAGAGACCCGGAGCACAACAACCCCGTCTGATTTTATAGGACAGGCAAAGAGAACTGGGGGCAAGTGGTCCCATAAATTGCAAGCCCCAAGTCATGAAGGGATTCATAGGTGAAAACTTGTATCTTTAACTGCACCCAGAAACTAATTGATATCCAGTGCAATTCATAAAGTAAAGTCTATGGAGATTCTCAATCATCCAGGTCATGTTTGTCCCAAAGGTGCTTCTCCAAAAGGCAACTGGACTTTCTTGGTTTTTTTCATGAAAAGATGTCACTTCTCATCCAAGAAGCTCCTTGAGTTCTGAAGTTCAGAACTGAAGAAGCTTCTTGGATGAGAAGCAAAACATTTTCAAGGAAAAAACCAAGGAAAAAGCACCTTTGGGTCATATAATAAAGGTGTCACATTAGAGTAACAACTTGCGCCTATATATTCTGGACCGGCTATAGTTTCTTATTGGTCTGCAAGAACAAGTTTCATGTTCAGTAAATTGCAAAAATTCAAAAAGAAGCTTATTATAATACGAGCAATTAAGAGAAGAACTTGCTGATCCAGAAAATAGTGCAATTGTGCACATACCAGCCGTACTAAATATATTCTTAGTCTCAATAATATGTCAGAAAGAGAAGGCATTAAGGTAATAGAAGGGAGACGAACCTTTTTCCGAGGACAATCTCTTTAGCTCCTTCCCACACATCTATAATTCAAAAATTAAAGTGGATTTTTGTACTTTGCCTCATCATGACTCTATAATCCTAAAGGAAAATATTCTAAGGGAATAATACCATTAGAGGATTAATGCCACAAGTTGATTTGACAAAAAGGATTTGCAAACACTGAAATCCTATATTGCTTGCATTTAATCACAAAAAAATATTCTGAGGATTTTATTTTCAATCTATTAATATTCTGGCCCATCCTAAATGGCACATAATGATTCAGTTTCATATCAGTTTTATGCTACTTCCTCTGTCTGAATTCTTCACTACCCTAAATTGCAACCGAAAACCAAATAAATTTGTGTAATTATCTGATATATATGCATCAAGGATGTAGACTTGATTTATACACATCACTGATCTCATCATGTTGTTTGCTTATGATTCAGAGTTGTGTATAAACAAGCCAATTAGCTAACTGAGGTTATGTTGAACAAAGTAAAGGTTGGTTCAGCCAGTTGAATATATCAAGAAAATGTCTTTTCTTCAAATAAAAACCCTTGGTTAGACATAATCATATTGGGAAAGGTTTTAGAAATCAATGGATTGAGAAAGGAAGATTTCTGTGATTTAATAAGTTTGGGTTAAAATAAATATTGGTAATCCTTGACTTATGACCACAAATGAGTTCAAAATTTCCATTGCTAAGCAAGACAGTTGTTAAGTGAGTTTTGCTCCATTTTATGACATTTCTTGCCATAGTTATTAAGTGAATCACTGCAGGTGTTAAGTTCTAAATCGAGGACTACCTTTACAAGGATGGTATCAATACCCATGATAGAGGGGTCTTTTCTGAAAAAGTAAGCTTCTCATGATAGCCGGTTTGTGAGTGCCTGTATCATTCACAGATTCTCAAAATTCCTGAGTAATCTTAGATTTTGACATTCTGATGAATCTTTTTATCTATTTTTTTTTCTCTTGAAGAAACTGATCTCTTGTGAGGAGATCCCCCAAATGCTTCAGAGAGCTAACTAACAGGCAGCAAGACCTAAAGACCAAACTGCTGTAACCTTTCAGTTTGTTTGTTTTTCAGTGTGCTTAATGGGATTTTAATCTTTTCTACCCAACAGGATAAGCAAACTAGGGCACCAAGACTTACAGATCACAATGTTTTTGTTTTTGTAGGGGAAAAAATTTGCAAGACAAATAATATTCTAAAACCACTGTGATCATTCTTCCACAGTGGACTGCAAAATTTCTGCAACAATTAATATTTTCAGCGAATGCATTAAGGGCTTTGAAAGCTGTTAACAGCTTAACAGGTTAAATATCAAAATAGGTTTATCAGATCAGTGGGATGTTTGACTTCTAATTACATTGTTTTGTTTCTGCTGGCTGAGGAGATGATGTGGGAAAAGAGCTTCTGATGTCAGAATCAAAAGGACTTAAAGGTAGGGATAAAGAGTAATCCAAATAAGCTGAGTTTGGGTTTATATCAAAGTCATTGTTCAGAATGCCTTGACTTTGCAATGCTTTTTCAATACTGCCAACCAGAGTGAATGCACAGATCCAGCATATTCTATATACACTTGTCTTGTTTCAAAACGAAGGTACTGACAACTGCTGTAAGTATATGCAATCAACCATAACTTACATGTGGGACAGCCATGTAATAACAATGTCAGTAATTTTAACATAATCTCAGGAAAACATGTTTCACACTAGGGAAATAGAAGAGCATTTCAGTCACATGAATCTTTGATTATTACAATATCTTTGTTTATTAAAAGTGATATGGCTGTGCATCTATCAGATGACTATACTTTCAGGTATCTTTGTATCCCTCATTTTAATTGTATGTGTTATTTTTCATGATGTAAACCAGCTTGATGAAATGTGAAAAGATGAGGAATGTAATTTAACACATGCATAAGTATTGTATTTCTGCTTGTTCTTTAGCTATCCTAATCATTTGACTTTAATCTTTAAAGTTTATACAATATTTTTGGAAACAAGCTTTTTTAGAATCGAAAGTAACATATTTCAGCCACTGTTCTCTGTTCTGTACAAATTAATTTCTTCTAAATCTCTGTCTTTTTAGAAACATTTTGAATTCCCTGCAAAGAAGGATAAACTTGTTTCATTGCTCCTGTTTTTTGCTGATATGAATATATATATTCATGTTTTAGTGCTGAAGCCACCTTGCTAATAAGGGAAAATTTAATAATTAAAATGCAATTTTATTATTTTATTTTATTTCAAACTAATTTGAGTACTAATGCTAATGGAAAAATAGGTATAAATTAAATACATGTGGGCACGATGATTTGTTGATTGTAATGGATGACCATTTTGTACCAGACATTAAGTTTGAATGTACCGAATTTATGTGGATTTTGTTCTAGCTATGGTGGTTAAACACATTAACTCCAGCATGTAGAGGGGCAAGAAAATCCAATTTGTGAGTTTGCAAATTCATTTTTGATGGATTTGGAGGTTAGGAGTAATTTAACAAATAAATGGGAACCTTCCACATCACAGAAGACTTGCAATATGATTCCCATCTTGTTTTTCCATTTTTTTGTTACAGGTATGATTTGGCAGTCCATTTTTGCCTAGTTTTCTAGAGACCTGGAGAGGTTCACAGCAGGATCTTACCTCTAGATCCCTTTCCTACCACAAATTTCTAAATTGTACAATTCCCATTATATAGCTTGCTATGATGCATCTATGGAAAACCAAAATGAAACTGCTTTAAATAAATCCTATATGTATATGTACATGTACATGTATATGTACATGTGCATATATACACAACACACAGGCATAACCTAATTATTTTCTGGGTTGCTGTTGAAATGTCTTTCTGAATCCATCTAATTTATATAATGTTGCAGGTTCAAACAACATACCGAAATATAAAATATCTACATCAGTTCACAGAACATGCTAGGTTCAAGGGTAGCTGGCTACTTTGTGGGTTCAGTATGTTGTGAGTTTATTTTAAAGTTCTACTTGCCTTAGTTACTGCATTGTCAACCCCAAAGCATCTCTCTCTTCACCTGGTGCTCTCTATTCAAGAGTAGGGCTACTTGGTATTTTCAGTAACCCAAGAGAAATAGACCAATAGGCCACCAAAGACTCTCCTATACTATAACTTCATAAATGGAGCTTTAGTCATCTAAGTAATCTCTCCTGGCCTAGTGTGCTGTTGGCTAAAGATTAGGTAGTTGAAGTCCACCACAGATGGAATTTGCCAGGTTGGGAATATTAGTTCTGCGGATTCCTAGTTCCCAACAATAGTTCAATGAGAACAATTAACCAGTGAAACAGTTTGCCTGCAGAAGTGCTCCATCATTGGAGGAGGCTTTTAAGAAGAGATTGAACAGCGATTTGTCAAGAATAGGATAGGGTCTCCTGCTCAAGCGGGGAGTTGGACTCAAGACCTCCAAAATCCCTTCCAACTCTGTTATTCTGCATTCAGTTCACCACAATAAAACTAAATATGAACTGAATAACATTTTTGAATAGCACTGTTATCACTGAAGGACAAGATTTTCAAAAATTTAAACTTTTACTTCTGAACTTTACTTGCACACAAGAGTTAATTGCATGTGCATCAGCCTATTCTTTATTCTCCCTGGAGTTCGCAAAGCATGATTAAGTGTACGCAACTAGTTTTAGTCCACAAAATGCCATACTTCCATTCCTTGCTTAACCAACTGTGGCAGAATTATCACTGGATGAATGGCTCTTGCCTGCTGCCAAGAAGGGTTTGTTCAGGGTAAAACTCTAAAGTAGTGATTAACTTGATTTCATCCCTATAAGGTGCTGCAGTGCTAGGATTTACAGAATAGGATTAAAAAAGATTCCTATATGAAACCAGGCCCTGACAGCTGGTACCTCTGTTTTTTCATACTCCAATGTTTCTCAACCTCAGCAGCTTTAAAACGTGAGGACTTCAACTCCCAGAATTCCTCAACCAGCAGGCTAGTTGGAAAACACTGCTTTACCTCAAAATTCTTAGCTAATCCATAGAGAGAAACATCAAGAGACATTGAAGAGCTCTGGTTCAGCTATCTGCCTGCTTTACTCTAAAAGATGTTATACTGCAGGACTGGAAATAATCTTGAAGTTTGGAAAGAACATCTGGACAGTCAAAATTAAGTGATATGGCTTAATAGGTAGAAAACAGCTCTATTTTTATGGCATTCTTTTCCAACCTGCAAACTAAAATGCCATAGGTTTCCATGTGCAAAGCGCACACAAAGAACTTACAGTAGTCTTTTTAAACACTCTTGATAACTCTAGAAATGTCCCATCAATGCAGAGTTGTGAAACAATATATAAGGCCTGTGCTATTTTATAAGTGGTCTTTGACTTACGGCTGCAATTGATCCCACATTTCTGTTGCTAAATGAGACAGTTTTTAAATGAATTTTGCCCCATGTTACAATCTTGCTTGCCACAGTTGTTAAATGAATCACTGAAGTTGTTAAGTTAGTAACATGGTTGTCAAGTGAATCTAGCCTTCCCCATTGACTTTGTTTGTCAGAAGGTCGCAAAAGGCAATCACAGGTCTCTGGGACATTGTAACTGTCATAAATATGAGTCAGTTGCCAAGCATCTGAATTTTGATCACATGACTATGGGTATGCTGCAAAGATCATAAGTGTGAAAAATAACTCATTTTTTCCAGTGGCGTTGTAACTTCGAATGATCACTAAATGAACTGTTGTAAGTCGAGGACTGCCTGTATATTCCTCTGATGTTTTGTGTTATTAATGTAATTGCTTTCTCTCAACACATTTCCATTTCACCGATTACTGGTGATGATCCATTGCATTATTTCAACAGCATGACTCCTCAGGATCACATGAGAAAAATAATAATCCTTGGGAAGCAGAGAGGTGTGGAAGACGGGGCCTTTTACCAAATTGGGAGTGGACTTACACCTGGTGGTAAGATGGAATAAAAATTCAGCATGATAGTTTAGACTTTGCCATATAATACCAGGGTACCACATTTTTCTAGATTAACAGTTGCATTCCTTTAATTATAAATAAACTTTGTTTTTAAATTAAGTAACATATACCATTATATGTGTGATTGTGATTTGTTTTACTGGATCTATATTTGTTGGACGTTTTTTCTTTTCTTTTTGATTTTTATGGATGTATGCTGCTCATAGTCATACATTATGAATTGGGTAAAAAAAAAAAAGTTAAAGGTTTCCCCTGTCCAGTCGTGTCCCTTTCTAGTGGGCTGTGCTCATCTCTGTTTCCTAATTGAGAGAGCCAGTGTTGTCCAGAGGCTTCTGTGGTCAGGTAGCAGCATGTTTATATGCTGACATGCACAGAACGCGATGTGCACAGAATGTTTGTTACCTTCCCACCTAAGTGGTACCTATTTACCTAATTGCATTTGCATGCTTTTGGACTGCAAGGTTGGCAGGAGCTGGAGCAAGAACAGGAACTCACCCCATCACACAATACTTGGGTCTTGAACTGCCCAATTTCTGGTCGACAACCCAGCATGTTAGGCCATCACACCCCCGATAAATTGGGTAGTGTAGCCTCTAATCCAGTGTTTCTCAACCTTACCAACTTTCAGATGTGTGGAGTTGACCATTTTGCTGACTGGAGAATTCTGGGAGCTGAAGTCCACACAACTTCAAGTTGCCCCAGTTGAGAAACACTGGTCTAATCTAACATGTCAGTTCCAGGATTCAGATCTGGCTTCTTTCTCACACCTTTATGTTCTAACACAATTTTTTTAATCACCTCTTTCTCAGCCGTGGAAAAGCTTTCAGTGCTGTAAAAAAACACCCTCGTGCCTTCCCACCTGTCTGATTTCTATCAAATATACAATATACAACAGATAGAATCAAAAATTATAAGATAAAGACAGCTTTATGCAGGAAGAAATAATTTTCAGTTATCCAGGCCACAAATCATTAAAGCAGTGCTTCCCAAAGTTGGGTAAAATACCCAGAATTGGATAAAAGTGTTTTTTCTTTGGGTAATAAAAGAATCTAATTACCCATCACAACAGGGACATTGAAATCAACTTACATATTGCAAGAGGTACTATAATATATTCAAAATCTCCCAAAGTGTTCCTACAAAGCAATAATTACCAGTGGGGATTTGTTGAAATGACATAGTGATAATTTGACGACATTGTTCATAATAATGCAGTAGTCCTCAGGTTACAACTATTTGTTTAGTGACTATTCAAAGTTACAACGGTGCTGAAGGAAGGGGCTTATGACCAGTCTTCAAAGTTCAATAAAACTTTCAGATAAAAGATTTTAGGTAATGAAGGAAAAAGTTTAGGAAGCACTGCATTAAAGCAACAGGAACCAGAATCGTGAATGAGGCCCAGAAGGAAAGTCAGAGTGATGTTCTACACAAACCAGTGTGAGATCTAACCCCAGCATTTTCCATGTGCCATAATTGCTTAACATGTATAAACAGAGAGACAGGCTTTTAAGCTTCTGATATTGTATCTTATTACAATAAAAAACCTTTGTGGAATTCCTGATATGCCCCTTTCGTGACCTACCCTTCTTCAAAGGGCTTACCTCAGTCTTGAAAATGTTTCTCTCTTTCCCATTTTATATTAAACAAAATCAGGGCAGAGTTATTTTGAGTTCCTTTCGTCCCCACGCTTTCTTTTTTCTCAAGGCTGTGTAATCTTTTCTGCAAACCTGCCCCCTCAACGGAGTACTCCTTCCTTCCCTATGTCCAAGGTCAATTCTATATTGCTGAACCAAATGCACTCACTGTTAGCACATCAATATTATATGATTTGTTTTAGAACTGAGGCATCAGCAAGAGATCCTAACGAGGAGCCAGTTCATGGCAAGACACCCACCGCTAATATGCCAGCATGGAATGCAGACAATTCCTTCACAGTTGGAATCTCGGTTTATGGAAAGGTACTCCTAGCCAACTGATGAAGGAAAAGATGTTGTCCCTGTATATGGTAGAGTATGTAGAGCAGAAGTGTGGAAAATGGCCCCTTTATGACTGGCTGGTATGGCTGGCTGAGGAATTCTGGGAGTTGAAGTCCACAAGTCATAAAAGGACCAAGTTTGAAGACCCCTGATGTAGAGCAATGCTGTTTAAAGAGCTTTAAAACAGAACTGCATGTATTGGGCAGCTGTGCCAACAATTACCAGCCAACATGTTCAATATATCTGAGGTCAATAGAGGTAGATCTTGATTTATGACCATTTGTTTAATAATTGTGAAATTATAGCAGTGAAAAAAGTGAATTACAACTGGTCTTGCACTTATAATTGTCACAGAGGTGACATGTTCAGAATTTAGGTGTTTGACAACTGGCATGTATTTACAATGGTTACAGCATCCCAGAATCATGTGATAGTCATTTGCAACCTTCCCAGGGGGCTTCTGACAAACAATGTCAATGAGGGAAGTTAGGTTTGCTTAACAGCCATGCCAAAAAGGTTGCAAAATCAGTTGTGATTCACTTAATGACCACATTATTTAGTGATGGAAATTCCCATCACAATTGTGGTCATAAGCTGAGAACTACTTGTAAATCTAAGTTCTGATCTAGCACTCTTTCACTACAGACTGTGTTTCTCAACATACTGGCTGGGGAATTCTGGGACTTGAAGTCCACACATCTTAAACCTGCCAAGGTTGAAAAGTACTGTTATAGATATTCTTTTCTTCCAGAAAAGGTTACCTATATTGGCTCCACGAGCGTTTCCTTTCCGTACATAACTGTCAGATCAATTTGGAATATGGTTCCTCATTGGGAGGGAGGACAAATAACAAAAACAGGGGGCACACTGTCACAATACAAGCTCCATGCCCTTTGGACATGTGTAGTGACATTGCTCACACATACCAAAGAGGCAGAACTGACAGCATTATGAGGTGCTTTCATATTTTGATCCAAACATCTGATCCTGCAGTTGGCTCTGCTCCATTTGTTATTTTATTTTAAAAAATGTTAAACTATTAATATAGATGTTTTGCTTAAGGCTTTAAAAGGGCTAATCGACATTTACTCCTTAATATCTACATTAAATCCAAATATATCATCAGTTTTTAAATTCAGGGTCAAAAGTACTTGGGAATATCTCGTGTAAATGGCCAGGTGGGTTTTTTTGTACCAACAACTTTTTATTTCAGGATTCTGAATGACTGTGCGTTATAGGCTGTTTGCTCTCTTTTACTGATTCATAGATAGGAAGTTTCCTTTCTAGATTTTTTTTCTTTCACAGAATTTCAGCGTTTGCACATAAGATACTTTAACTAGCTGTCTTGTTTGCTCTCCTAGAAATTTGTTACCTGCATCTGAGATCTTACCTACACCTGATCTCAGGCAGATACATGTGGCTTCCACGCTTGGACCTCCTGTCTCACAACTTACTAACATCCCAAACTTATTATCTAGTTGCGTTTCCCAAGGACCAGGTAAGAAAGAGCAAAATCATAAGTAACTGAGTAAGTAAATAGACAGCAGCAGTAGGAAAACTATTGGTGTCAAATCACCCCAAGGCCTGATTCAAATTTCTTATACCAATGAAGGAGAATATTTGTAGCTCAGGGTTGACATGTGGGGTCCTTGGTGCTCTCTGAGCTTGCTTATTTTCCTGTAGATGTTTCAACCCTAACTAGGTAACATCATCATCATCATCATCATCATCATCATCATCATCATCAGTTACCTACAACTGATGATGTTACCTAGTTAGGGTAATGAAATGTCTGCAGGAAAAAAAAGCAAGATCAGAGAGTACCAAGGACCCCTCAAATTTCTGATTTGATCCAAATCATCATTTTGAAGAGCTGAGTCGATTGTGTTAAACAATAGGTGTGTGCATGGGAAAACTTGCACTGAGTCTCTGAATTGATTAAAGGGCCCTGATTTCATTCTGTGCATTAAAAAGATGGTAATGTTAGCCTGTGAGGTAGTCCAGATAAGAAGTACAATCAGGAATACTAGCCCAGAGCTGAAGAAGCTTCTTGGATGAGAAGCGAAACATCTTCAAAGAAAAACAAGGAAGTCCAGTTATCTCGTGAAAAAGCATCTTTGGGACAGCCATGACCTGGATGACTGAGAATCTCCATAGATATTTTCTTCCAAATCATTTTCAAAGCATGCATAGTCGTCCATGACTGCCAGCCTCACCGAGTAAATCAAATAAGAATCACAACCAGAGGAGCAAATTCTGCTTTATTGTAAGGATACATTAACAGAATCTTGCTAATCTATCAGTATAATGAAAACCAGTATCAGAGCAGATTATTAATCCAGTTTTAAACAAGTGAATGATGCTAAAACTAATTTTCAATTATCTTTATTCATTCGTTCATTCATTCATTCAATTACTAGGATATAGTTTTCTTCAATCCGAATCAATGGAAGCAGTAGCCAAAAGACAAGAATTGATTCAGAAACAAAATATTGCCAGGTAAAAAGAAATAAATCACAATTATTAGAATATACACGCTAAGTCATAATTAATTATCACTTAGCTTGTGGTTTGTATGAATGTTTATACCTGAGGTTTACTTAATTAACCCTGATTAAATAAATTATAATTAGCATGTCAGACAGCTCAGTATGCTTATAGGTCACCTAATTACTGTGGTTATATGGATGGTATTCCTGTTTAAATTATAGGCAATCTTTCTACATTTTCATCTTTGTCCATTAGGTGCTAGTATAAATCTGTCACTTATTGCGTTATGTAGACTTTGCTAATATGATTATTGTGGTACATATCTCAGAAGGCAACAGCATCTAGCACTTTGTCTGGACTTATAAACTAGCCTTGATTGCTGTTTGGATGGGAGACCACCAAGAATTTCTAGGACCAGAGAGGCTAAACAGGGAAGTCTAAAAATCTTTCTGTAATCTGTTTCCATATTATGACTTCATGGATGCATCCATGTAGTCATCAAGAGTTTTGCTCTATTCAAGAGTGCATTTTAGTACGAACCACAATGTGTGTGTGTGTGTGTTTGTGTGTGTGTGTGTAACCCTCTGAAGGTTACTGGTTAAGTAATGCAGCCCTGTAATTGAAAAAGATTTAACATTTTTAATATTCACAAACTGCAGGTCTTCAAGGGCTCAGATGAAGGGGTTTTTTTTTAAAAAAAATAGAAGATGCCAGGAAATATTGGCTTAGGTGTGGGGGATTCTGCCTGTAAATCACATAGTCTAGTACTGCTCTACAATGCTTAATGTTGCAAACTTTATATACTGTAACCAACTTCTGATGGCAAAATAAATAACTGGTAGACAAAGATTTCATTTCCAGTTACGTTGTGATGTTTATGACCATTACTTAGGATGGAAATGAATGCCATGTTTCAACAAAAAGAACTCGAAAAAGCTCACCGAAAAAGTCTTCTAAAACTCAGGGGCTTTTTCCCTTACTCTGATGTCCCAGCTGGCTCCACTGGTTTTCAAGCAAGACACCTGTCCGATGGCTTGTATGTCCATCAGACTACCTTCAATGAACTTCAGAGGAATGCCATGTTCATGGCCACTAGCTCCTATCCACCTTTCACCATGCTTCAAAGGGAACGAGGCCGTCGACCAAGCAGAAGAGCTGGTCTTCGCAAACTTGCTCGTTGCCACTTCAGTCATGGAAAGAACCAACTGGAGGATAGGGATGTGGATCTGGCCTCGGTGACTGTCAGTGAAGAAAAAGAGGATAAAAAAGAAACCAAAGTGGAGACGCCAAGCAAGCTTGCTGCAGCAGACGCAGAACGGGAGGTCCATGCAGCACCATCAGCAGCTGTCACCCAAAATGAGAAGGAATGTGAAGGTGGCCTGAGAAAGAACTTGTGTAACCATAAAATGCCCAGTGAAGGAAGTGACAGTCACAATAGAAACGAGAAAGATCCCCACAATTCTTGCTTAGTCTTTAATGAAAAGCGTGCAGATCCATCAAAAATCACATTCTCTGCTCTGGCAAGTGGCTTCTCCTTATTCAAACAACCTCCATTATCTTTCGGTAAGTAATAAGACATGCAGGAGAACACCATGACCTTTCAGATATTACTAGATTATGAGCCAAATAGTCCCAGATGAAAGGATGCTAGTAATTGTTGAAAGCATCATCCGGAGAACCACAAATTCTCCATGTCTGCAATGCAGCCTGGCATGAAAGGCAAGCTATATACTTCATGGAAACTATGTATGGTGATCACAAAGTCAACACATTCTACTTGCAGAGAACTCTCAGAACTGTAGCATAGAGAAAAAGCATTGGAGATGCTTTAAAATCTCTTTCCCAATGAAAATCAATTTGTAATCCACCCTCATGAAGGGAAGCAGCATTAGGATTTTAACAGAATAAGAGAATAACAGAGTTGGAAGGAACCTTGGGGGTCTTCTAGTCCAACCCCTTACACTATAATTAGTCCTCAACATATAACCATTCATATAGCAAGCATTTGAAGTTATAACATTATTGAAAAAAAGTGATTTAAGATGGGTTTTCACTCTTAAAACTTTCACAACATCCCCATAATCATGTAATCAAAATCTGGATGTTTAGCCCCCACCATGTATTTACAACAGTGGCAGCATCCCAGGGTCATTTTCCCAGGCTGCTTCCAACAAGCAGAGTCAATGGGGGAAGCTGGATTAGCTTAACACTGCAGTGAGTCACTTAACAATTGTAGCAAAAAGGTCATACAATTGGATGTGGCTCACTTAACAACTGTCTTGCGTAGCAATGGAAATTGTGCTCCAAATTGTTGCTATAAGTCAAGGACTACCTGTATTTAATTTAGCCTTCCATATGTACTGTAGATCAGGGGTCCACAATCCCTGGTCTGTGGACCGGCACCGGTCCACGACATGCCAGAAAACGGTCTGTGCAGAGCCCCTTCCAGGGGATGCAGGCAGCATATGAAACTACACCCTCTCTGATCCACGGAAAAACATCTCTCCATGGAACCGGTCCCTGGTGCCCAAAAGGTTGAGAGCCACAGCTGTAGATTCAACATGTAGTCATTAGTTCAAATGTTTCTCTGATTTCTTTGCTAATCAGTAAAAATAAAAGCTGATTCTTTTTCATTCTCCTAGCCCCTTCCAGACTAATTTTAAATGGAGAACAAATTTCATCTGCTGAAGATATTTGCAAATGGACTGTTGAAGATGTATACAGTTTTATCAACAGTCTCCCAGGATGCTCTGACTATGCTCAGGTAATCATAAATATTTGAAAAAAAANTGATTATGTAATGCCATCCATGCCTTAATGCTATCTAGGTTTTTTTTACTACGTTTTGTATGAAGACATCAATGGAGGTTTTCAAGAACAGACTGGAAAGCCATTTGTTTGGAATGGTAGGGTATCCTGCTTGAGCAGGGGGTTGGACTAGAACAGGGCTTTTCAACCAGTGGTATGGGTACCACCTGTGGTGGATTGACACCTGGCAGGTGATATGTGACCATCCTAGAAAAGTGGTAGCGGGGGAAGGGAATGAGCTGAACCGGTGGCAGCACCGCACAAGCCTGAGCAAGAGATGGCTGGAGCTGCAGGGCTGTCAGGGCTCAGCGGAAGCGCCAGGATCAGTGCCGCTTTCCAGATGATCGGTGCTTCTTCAGGGCTGTCAGGGCTCAGTGGAAGCGCCAGGATCAGCGCAGGGTCCAGCTGGAGCTCGGCGCTGATCCAGCTGGAGCTCGGCGCTGATCCTGATTCTGCTGAGCCCTGAAGAAGCACCAGTCAGCTGGAATGTTGCCTTATCTTCAGGGTCTTGTGACTTACATTCAGATGCGTGGCAACTGATTCATATTTATGATGGTCACAGTGTCCCAGGGTTATGTGAAGTGACCAAAACCTGCTGCAACCACTCAGCAGACAGGGGGAATAAAAACCAAACACCCCCCACCCCACCCCCGCTGCCAATCCTCAACAGAAATGCTCACAACAATGGAAACCTGGGACAGGAGGAAGAGCGCCGCCAGGTGGGCAGGCAGGTGTCTTGCTCGGCTGTGGCTTGGGGGGCACTTTTTTCAATGCCATTGTAAGTTCGAACAGTCACTAAGCGAACTTTGTAAGTCGAGGACTATCTGTACTTCATCACTTTTTTTCTTTTTTCTTTTTTTTGGTCATCAAGTTTTTGACACCTTGCTAAGTGACTGGTGGTACTCAGATATTACCGTATCCTAAAAGTGGTACAATGGGTGAAAAGGTTGAAAAGCCCTGGCCTAGAAGACCTCCAAGGTCCCTTTTAACCCTATTATTCTATGTTCTTTTTATGTAGTACAGTGTACATGAAATCCACTCAAAGCTGGCCATGGAGACAGGAAGGTTTAAGCTTACAGAGCATATGGAAAAATACCAAAAAGAAGAGATTCTAGGAAGAGACAAAAGATGATTTTCAAATACAAAATATTTCTCAAAATAAAAGACTGTTCCTATACGAAGAGCCAGGGAAGTGGGAATAACCAAGCCTGGTTGAAAGTTATAAAAGTAGAGGGAAATGGTACTTTGGAGAGATCATATAGAATGGAGGTGTTGGATAAGATAGCCATCTTACTTTGATTCTTCTGGAATCCAAACTAGTCATACATTCATATGCTTGATAACTGAATCACATTTATGACAGTTGCAGTATCCTGAGGTCATGTGATCACCTTTTGCGACCTTCTGACAAGCAAAGTCAACGGGGAAGCCAGAATCGTTTAACAACTGTGTTCCTAATTTAACAATTGTGATTCATTTAACAGCTGTGGTAAGAAAAGTCGTAAAATGGGGCAAACCTCACTTAACAAATTTCTCACTTAGCAACATAAATTTTGGGCTCGATTGTGGTCGTAAGCTGAGGACTATCTCTACAAGAGGTAGCATTCAGTGGATCCGGCACAAAAGCAGAGTTGAACTACTAGATAACCAGTAAGGTTATTTTCAGCTTTATGGTGCCATTACTCTAAGACCTTCTTCAGGATTCCTTGTATGACACTGCAACAGAGCACTTATTGTTTCAATGACAATATTTACTCCTTTGTTTTTAAAGGTATTTAAAGATCATGTCATTGATGGAGAAACCTTACCCCTGCTTACAGAAGAACATCTTTTAGACATGATGGGGTTAAAACTTGGGCCCGCTTTAAAGATTCAATCACAGGTATAGTGCATAGATCTTTTGAAATGCCAAACACTGAGCACATGGAAACCATAGCACTTTCAAATAGATATTTAATTTTCACTAACTTTTTACGTGATTTTTATTAAAAATTAGCTCTAGTTTGCTTTTGTTATCTGGTACAGGTACAACCATAACTGAGCCTGGAATTACAATCATAAATCATGCTGGTCTTTAAGAGGGTTATCACATGGCTAACCCGATTTTACAACTTTTTTGCAGCAGTCATCAAGTGAATGTAATGATTGTTAAGTGAATGCTGCAGTCATTAAATGAACCCATTGTCTGCAGTGGACATTGTTTGGTGGAATGTGCAAGTAAATAACAATAGCACTTAAACTTATATACCGCTTCACAGTGCTTTACAGCCCTCTCTAAGCAGTGTACAGAGTCAGCATATTGCCCCTAAACAATCTGGGTCCTCATTTTATCCACCTCGGAAGGATGGAAGGCTGAATCAACCTGGAGTCTGTCAAGATCGAACTGCTGGTGTGAGCAGTGAGTTAGCCTGCAGTACTGCATTCTAACCACTGCGCCACCATGGCTCTATGTCGGTTTAACAGTTGGTAAGTGAATCACTGCAGCTGTTAAGTTGTAAAGTGAATCTGGCTTCCCCATTGACTTTGTCACAAAAGATGATCACACGGCCACAGGATTGCAGCTGTCATAAATATGAGTCAGTTGCCAGGCAAACAAATTTTGATCATGTGACCATGGGGATGCTGCAACGGTCATCAGTATGAAAAATGGCCATAAATCATTTTTTTCCCAATGCTGTTGTTAACTGTGAATGGTCATTAAATGAATTGTTGTAAGTCAAGGCCTATAAATTACGGTAGCATTTTCTTTGTGTTACAAAGAAGCACAAGCAATAGGAATGCCATCGTGTTAAAGTAGTGATGCTACTATATGTGGTGGCATATTGCCAGTATGACACAAACATTTCTTAATGATAGGAAACCGGGATGGTAAACATTTCTTAATGATAGGAAACCAGGATGATGAACAATTATAGCAATGATCCAACCACTATTCTCAAAGGACAATTCCTCTATATTATTCTTCATTAGCTGACTCCATGGATTCCACTTGTACAGAATCATTTCTTTCATTATTACTACACAATAAAGAGGGTAATAATGATACTATGATGAAGACTCAGTAAGGGGCTTTGAATAGTGAAAAGCCCCTACCATGCTCAGTGTTTTGCTTATTTTGAATCTGTAAACAACTGTACATAATAATAACTGCACAGTCTTTCTCCTGAGTTTGCTGTTTGGATCAACTTCCTCTCTCTTGCTTTTACATAGTAATTTTGCTTTCATTTTAATCGTTAAGCAGTTTTATTTCTCCTGTCTTTATCCATCCTTCCTCTCACTTTTATCTATTCACATCCCTTAGTTATAGTAAGAATAATTAACCGCAGTTCAGGGGGATATAGTGAACAAATAACAGAATGCAACACTTCTTATTTCTTATAAAAGATGTCAAACTATTTCTGGAGAAATCAGAGCTGGATTTAGCATGAGGAATACGTGGAAATAAGAAGATGAAATAACCCAGTTAATTTGCTGTTCGAGTTACAGTGGGCTCCCGTCAAAGCAACCAGACAAGAAAGTTTAGATATAGCAATGTTTTCCAGCCTTGGTGACTTTAACTGAATAACAGAGTTAGAAGGGACCTTGGAGAAATCCAACCCCTGCTCAAACAGAAAACCCTGTATCATTTCAGGCAAATGGTTATCTAAACTCTTCTTAAAAACCTCCAGTGTTGGAGCATCCACCCATACGTGGATTTCAACTCCCAGAATTCCCCAGCCAGCCATGCTGGCTGGGGAATTCTGGGAGTTGAAGTCCACCTATCTTAAAGTTTCCCAAGATTGGGAAACATTGACATATAGGGATGCTATACGGTTGTATTTATTGATAAGTTTAAGACAGCAACATTATTTTAAAGTATTTAAATAAAAGTATTTCATTTCCCTAAAGGTGTCCCAATGCCTGAGAAATGTATTCTGCACGATGAATATTCCCTTGGCCATGCCTGTCCCATCTGCAACTAGCACATCTTCCGGTCCTTTCCATGATACCGCATCCCATCTTCCCTGTGGCAGTGCTCTTACTATTCTGGCCAGTCCTTGCACTCAAGATCCTGAAACTTCAAAAACAGTGGAACAAGTAATTTCAGCAAGCACAGACAATAATCCGCTCTAGCTGGATCAGAGGAGCCACTGTCAAAACTCTTTGTCAAAACTTTTTGTCAAAAATCATTGTCAAAAATAAGGGAGTCAAGCTATTTTCCAAAGCACCAGAGGGCAGGACAAGAAACAATGGATGGAAACTAATCAAGGAGAGAAGCAACCTGGAATTAAGGAGAAACTTCCTAACGGTGAGGACAAATAATCAGCAGAACAGCTTGCTTTGTAGGTGCTTCATCGCTGGAGGTTTTAAAGAAGAGACTGGACAGCCACCTGCTGAAATGTTATAGGGCAGTGGTGGCGAACCTATGGCACGCGTGCCAGAGGTGGCACTCAGAGCCCTCTCTGTGGGCACGCGCACCATGCCCCAGAGATGGCAACCGTCCCTCTTCAACCAGCCGCCTGCTAACTCGCCAAGGTCCCACGTGGCCGGATGCATCCCAGCACAGCTGTTTTCCCTCCCCCACCGTCCCATCCCTCCTGGCCTCGCATGCTCTCCTTTTCCCGGACACGACCCACTGCATCGCCTCCTCAGCTGTCAGCCAGCCGTCCAGCTCAAAGGCGGCTTCTCTGAACTGCTGGCGGCGGGCTGCAGAGCCCCAGAGTGCACCAGTCGAGGGGCCAGCAGGCTGTGGCTGCTGATGGACACTGTCTGCCCCCATGGGCTCGCTGGCCCCTGCCTTGCCTTGCGACAATGGCACCCCCGCCCTGTCTCACTTGCCTCATCTCCCCCAGCTCTGCCCGTCCCCCACAGGCATCCCTCCCCACGAGCAAGATCAAGGTGACCATGCCCACCTTGGCCACACCCACCAGGTCTGCCATGACCACCACAGCCATGCCCACCCAATGGGCCACGTCCACCTGGCACCCAGCGATAACCCAGTTTTGGGTTGCAGTTTGGGCACTCGGTCTCTAAAAGGTTCGCCATCACTGTTACAGGGTGTCCTGCTTGAGCAGGGGGCTGGACTGCAAGACCTCCAAGGTCCCTTCCAGCTCTATTCTTGATCTCGAAAGTGATTGATTGATCTTGAAAGTGTTCATTCAGTGGACTTGCCAGCAAAGAATGTCACAGGCCATGTAAAACAATTATAAACCTTTATGTTTATAAAATGATTGTTATAGAAACTGAAATTTGGCACCCGTGTGGTTAACAAATATTATTTATTGTATAAATATGAATTCACTAAAATAAAATGATAGAATCATTCATCTGCCCTGAATTTGGTTTTCTTTTTTTTAATGGTGCTTACTTGGTTGCCGTTCTTGATCTATGAAAATGCAAGATTACAAAGAGGCCTAATTTATATGAAAAGATGACCCTTGTTTTGGGGTCTCTTAACTATGGACTCCACCTGGTCTCTTTTCACTATGCATCCCAAATTTACAAAGACTTTTAAATTTCATACTTGTTCCAAATCTGTCTGCCCACCCATAAACAATGCTGACATTGTCACAGAACCCAGTTGTAGAAACAGCAAGTCCATGTTGCTTCGCTGTAAACCTACAATAACAAAATCTTGCAAGTCTGAATGCTATTCCTCACCTCTCATCTCTCACCACAATTGTTTGAAATAGCAAACTGAAGAAAGAACACAACCACTGGAAAACAGTGCATTCAGCCCCAATCCTTGTAGGTAGTCCAGTAATGCCATGGTCAACAGTTACTAAAACAAAAAACAAAAAAACAGGAAGGATAGGGACTGTGTAACTTCATCCAGGGCAAAGGTTCATCCAACAGTGATTAATAATGTCTCTGTTCCATAGTGTGATCCCCGGCTGAAAGGATCCAAATCATCTATTTCTGGAGTTCTCCAAAGTTGTCTCAACAGCCTTCCTTAAAAATGGGAGGCTGGAGACTGGACAATAATTATCCAAAACCTCTCATCCACTGATGGCTTTTGCAGAAGGGAGCACATCAGAACCTCCTTCAAGACTGCTGTTTTTGTGTTTATTTATGCTTATGATTGTAAAAAAATAAAATAATTAAAAAAAAAAAAGACTGCTGTTAATGCACTCACCCACCCAGAGGGTGTTGACAGTTTGTTAGATCAAAGTGGCTACTTCTTCATTCACTTCCCCCAACAGCCAGGAAGGCAGAGATGCAAAAAGCAGGTGACAGGAAAAAAATCTACTTCCTTGGAGCTCGCAGCCAAAAGAAATGTCAAATAACATTGCAACATTACCGACTCTGCACGTGGAATCAAGACTTGGTGAAATCTGTAAAATGCTGTGCAAATTGATCACAATGGTGGGAGAACATCATGCAGATACTTCCCCAAAAGGGAATGGATCACTTAAGTAAGGCTACTGGGTAATAGCCCAGTGACGCAGTAAGGGAGAAGATTGTCATGGTACAGGCCTGAACTTTACCAGCGCTCAGATTTGCTTTTTCTCTTCCTCCATCTGCACTTCAAGCATCATTTTTGGTATTTCATTTTTAGAGAGGCTCTAAAAACCAAGCTACCAACTAGGGACAGCCACCATATAACCATGGAGGATGTGCACACTCAAGAATTACCAGAGTTGTTTGCCTGGTCAAGTATTTTGAATACCCCAACACCTAAAGGCAAAAGTTCTGCATACTACAAATTCTAGTAGCAGGCGGGGCAATGCCAGCTAGGTGGTAGATCTTATCTAGAGGGGTAGGTTTAAGGCATCTGGTAATAATTTTTCTAGGTTTATTCATTCATGGGAGACATGAAAGTTGCCCCAAGAAAGTGTGCTGTTAACACATTCCGGTGTCCCTGAACAACAGCTTATAGCTGGCTAATTGTTTCAATCCAGAAGGATCCAAAGCATAGTGGGGTGTTGATTTCCACCTATATAATATAGTTAATGTATATAAATTACATAAAAATGTTAAAAGTGGGGCTGAATTACTAACTGTCCAGGGCTACATGTGGCTCACAGGTTGGACATGTCTAATATAGGTATCACTTCACTTTTTTTCTTAAAAACATTTTCATTTTTTATCAATGTAGATAAACTTCAGACTTGCTCTTCTCTGGGATATGACCAAGGATTTCTTAAGTTTCGCAGCATAATGTAAATTACTTATCAAGGTCTGTTGGGTTATCGTTAGTTAAGTAAGTGTTTGAAACCACTTCTCCAAAATGTGGTTTCAGTTATAGATTGCAATTCTTACTAGTAATATACCTCAAGCATCTGAATGTCTACAAAAAAAACCCACAGGGAATAGGCACAAAAATTTAAAAATGTTCTATTATTTCATTTTAGAATGAAAAAAATTTCAAAATAGTTGCCTAAACTTAAAAAGTGGAACCAACCTATACTATCATAAAAGATTAAGGCAGAACATTTTTTTTTACTGATGATAACCAATGGGGGAAGTCAATAATCTTTTTTTTAATTTGTGTGAGCCATGGTTTGCAGCATTTAAGATGGGATTACTCCCAGATCGTTCACTGGATACCTGCGTATCATAATGTAGGATTTCGTCGTTTTCTATGTACAGCATCGCCCTGAAATAAGCAGGCATTTACTTTCCTTGCAAATGAAAAGCTTATTTCTATTGCCACGCGCAGAATAAGTTGTAACAACTTGGGAAGCTCGCCCGTGGGCTGCATTGAGATGGATTTAGGGACTTTTGTGATTTGCTTCGTCTACAAGCGCCTTAATCACTAGCCCAAGGGTAGGCAACCTCGGCTCTTTTATGACTCGTGGACTTCAACTCCCAGAATTCCTGAGCCAGCTATGCTGGCTCAGGAATTCTGGGAGTTGAAGTCCACGAGTCATAAAAGAGCCGAGGTTGCCTACCCCTGCCCTAGCCCATGGCTCTATTCACCAAACACGCTCGCTTGGTGCCTTCCAGATGCGCGAAGGTCACCCCAACTACAACCAGCCTGGGATTTGGGGGGGTTTTCCACGTTATTGGGACAGACTGGCTCGAATAGTTGGGGTAACATTTTTCAGAACGAGGATGCTTTTGTCCACCCCAGAGGGCATCTTCCCTTCACACAGACAACAGCGCCTTCCAAGCGGAGCCCCGCAGCAAATGGCGAGCGTC